ATGCATCAAGAAAGGATTTATTCAGCTGTCTACGCTGTCTAAAGAATCTCTGTACAAGCACTGAGTGTTAGAAACCTCTCCAATGACTGTCCTTGCTTAGGATTTTGAAAAAGCTGCTTTTTACATATGGAACATCGTGCAGGGAAGCCATACCAATGAGGACTAGCAAGCAATATCACAGAGTAATAGTTTTAGTTTACCAAATCTGAACAAGGCCAAGAAGGCATTTACGGCCTCCAGATAGGATATGTTTACAGCTGTAAGAAGTCATTTCAGTCAGCTTTGTGAAACACAAAGGAGAGAACCTTTTTCTGGTGCCAGTTCTCGTGTCTTTGCCAGGTTTCATAGTTGTCAGGATTTTGTCTCCAGCTTCTATAAGACAGGTATGCGCTCACTAATAAGGTTACTTTGTAGACTCAGCCTCAAAAAAAAACAAACAGAGTAATGCCATAGGAGTAACCAGCATTACTTTCTCCTTGGTCCCAAGCTAAAAGGTGACAGAAGTCCAGTCCAGTTTACGTCGAAAAATAAGAGATGGCAGTTGGGAGTCAATGACAGCTGTCCTACTGCAGATGGGAGATTCCACTTCTTACGCTGCCACTCTTTAAAAGCTCCTGTGTTGAAACTGGGCTTTTTTTGGGAGGTGGCACTTTTTTTTTTTTTCTGATAGCTCCACAGATCTGCTTCTTTATTTATTAAGAGTAATGTCTGGTACTTGATTCATGACAATCCCTATTAACATTCCTGTTCCAAATATCAACACAGAGCAAATTCAATTCCTGTAAAGCCTGATGAGTTCTGTATCTCTTATATATGTGCTCCCAGGTAGAAAATTTTGGTCGAGCTGTGTTCAACCATACATGTGCCATGCTGACAGTGCTTTTCACTGGTGAGAAAAAGGTAATGGAGAAAGAAGACGAGTGTCTGACTGTATGGCTAACAGAATCATTATAACTACCTTAGAATAGAAGAACCAACACTGACATTTCACTGATGTTAAACCAGCAGCAAAGTAGAATTATGTTCCTACAGCACTGGCCCAGAAATGTCATGAGACAGTGCAAGTTTTGTAAGAGAAATAGGGGGTTTTGTTGCTATTTGTTTTTTTCCTCCAGTCTTTCAATACTCCTGATACCAGACAGAATGAGAGAGTACAAAAATAAAAGTAGCTGTGTGGGGAGAGGGAGACTGGGGAGATGACCAAATCATCATAACCTTCAGAATAAGTTCGTGAGTTCTGAGTACATGTACATTTTATGGGGCAGATTGGGATCAGTTTTCACTTCATCCTTTTTCAAATTGAAGTTGGACAGTTTTGTACGAGACATGCAGTTCATTCTGGGGACATGCACTGTGCTTCATAAAATTGTTTCTAATGATCCACAATTCCTGTTCTGGGTTCCTCTACAGAGCAAGCCCAAAGTTTTCATATTTGCCAAGTCTGTCAAGAGAGGATGACTCCACTGAATATTGGTGTAGAAATAGGTACTACTTTCTGAAGAAAACTGATCTGTTACCACCACATTCTGCCTTGAAAGGGCAGTTTGCAGAGCAACCCTTCACTACACCTTATGCCTGATGTCCCATAGCATTTGAAATATTACAGAAGAAAACAAGAGTTGTTCATGGAAACCTCCCCCACATTTCAGCAGCAGGGTTTGTGCTGCATTTGACCCTCTTTAATCATGCAGCTTGAATGGTTTTCTGGATTGAGGACTTTGATGTTCCATCTAGCAGAACTTCAGGAAGATAATACACTTGTGACCTCCAAGTGGGTAGTTGCTTCATTGGTCAGCACTCAGCATTTCCAAGTCATCATACAACTGCATTCAACATAGAGAAAATTATCTTTTAACTATTTCTAGTATTTCCTAACCCTTTAAACAACCTGCTCCTGTCAGCTCCTGAGTACTTTGGAGCACTGATGCAAGGACTTCAGCTTCTTTCAGTAAAGAGCATAATCACATGCATCAACCTCTTTGATGAGCTGGAACTTGGGGGGATTCAACGTCTTCCTGTTTAGAGCCCAACACACTCACACAGCCAAAGTGAACCTTCCTCTTATCCTTCCGTTTGAAAGAGGTGGTGTGCATGTGAGGAGAATTTCATGGCTCGTTACAATACCCTGTATGCCTGTAATAATACAACTACAATGAAAACTACTTTCTCAGCACAAATCAAGTTAAACATACAGAACATTTTTGCTCTGTCGTGAAACCCTTTTAGAAAAAAAAGTCATAGAATAGAGTATTCTGAGTTGGAAGGATCATAGAATCCAACTCACAGAATCACAGAATATTCTGAATACAATTTCAGAGAGCACCATTTACTTAAAGTTTTTTTGTAGTAATGAACATTTAAAGTAGCAATTTATAAAATTTAGAGCTCTGGAAAAATGCGCTGCACAGTTTCCAGTTCAGCCCCAGAGCAGTGCTGAGGTCAGGACTGAAGGTCCCAGTATTCCCAGAGCGAGAGGCCCTGTGCAAGCATAGTGTCAGGCAATACCAAAGATTGCTCCTAAAATAAAAAGCATGACAAACAGTAAACAGGATGGAGGCAAATATAATTTTGTATCAGTGTGCCTCCCTAGGGGCTGTGGTCCCCCCCCCAGCAGTGGCAGCGTCAAACAGCCAGGAGCTGGCAATGGCCAGCAGCTCTGCCAGTGCCGTGGCCATATGAGTGATACAGCATCTGCCTGAGAAGCAACTTGCATGAGCTAGAAGCAGAGGTTAAAGAAGAATAAATTACCGGTCCCAGGGATATTTTTAAGTGAGTCTTTCACATATCTGGAACTACAGTGTATACTGCTTTAGATTTTTGCGTGCTTATCTTCAATGCACTGTCAAATGGCAGAGGGCATCACAATTCAGGGAACTTCTTTTCAGGATAGGACTTTTCACTTTAATCTAGGAGTACTTAAGTTCAGTCTACTGTAAAATATAGTTTTTAAATGGAATTGCCTCTTCCATAACTTTTCCAGAGTGATTTAAGTTTTCTCCTATAAAATTGAGGTTATAAATCTATCAGAATGATCAAATTATTTATAGCACTTTGGGACCACAACTTGACTTCATGTTTCATACATCTATATGGTGACAGTGGCTATGATATTTTGAGTTTTGGAGAATTTTTATGTGGTAACAGGAAAACCTAAAGCTTCTCTAGCACTAAATTTACCAAAATTCTTGAAAAAATCATCAGTAAAGTCCATTATACTTTTACCTGTCTTCTTACCTTTTCTCTGCTCAATCACTGAATAAATTCTGCAGGCTCTTTCCTAACTTGTTCTGTGTCACTGCAGAGCTTGGAAAATGAGCATCTTCTTTCATATACTTTTAGATAAAGCTTTTGCTTAGAATTGTGTGAAGACTCAAAATGCTAAAATGGAATAAAAATAAATTTCTTTTTAGATGGATGATTTTGTACCAATCTGTGGCAAATTGCATCCTGTAAGAAGGTAGTAAACAATGGAAGACTTTTTGTTTAAAGACTGTTCATGTCTTTAAGCATATCTTATAACCACTTTGAATACAGTACTTACATATTATGATTATAATATTTATTCATAATTATTTAATCTCTTATAAAATGTTCATGAACACATCTTCTTAATCAAGTTCACATATAATTTTAAAATTTCCTTTAATGTTGTTGTCCCAGACAGCAAAGCCAATCCAGGACCACGATGTCAGTAAATGAATTACTACTATAGGAAGTCAGTCAACCAATCCCCAGTGTAGGTTATACACTACCAATGCTAGACCATTAAGCAGTAATTTCCATAGGAGGCTGTCAAAATCAGCCACCACTGTAAGAACATTAACCTTGAATTATGCTTTTAATGTTAAGAAATAGGTAGGACTGCATTGCTGAGAAGCAATATCAATGCTTTTTCAGCTGAAAGTATTAATTCTGCCAAAAGTAGTTTTATTTTCTGTATAGAGTGTTGAGAGACCCCTGGTGGCCTAGTGGTTAGCATGCAGGACTTTCACTGCTGCGACCACGGGTTCGAGTCCCCGGTCTCCTGGCCTGATGGAGGTCGTTAGCCCTGTGTGGCCATCCATCTATGAGAAGGACACTCTAAACAAACCTACGTTCTGAGGACCTCACTGCCATTGTCCAAGCTTGCTTGGCCCCGGCAGATGAACCTTAGGATTAAAGGGTGGGCTCAGTTCAGCGCAGGCTGTGTCTCACCTAAAAAATCCATTGCACAGGCTGGAAAGGTAAAAAGACCTTTCCCCAAATCTTCGTTCGCGAAGATGGGCCATTATTATAGAGTGTTGAAACATCACATCTTGTCTCATATTGGTTTGAAAACTTTGCCTGGGTAGCACCTCTTCGGATCTACAGATCAGGTGTCTCTTGTCTTGTTCCCCACTGAGTCAAGCTCCCTAGTTAATTTTATCTCCCATAAGGGCATCCCGATTATGCAGTTCTCGTGAAGGATTGTGCTAGTGGTGAATAACTTTCTACTATTGTGTCCAATCCTATTTCAAATCTTTCAAGTTCTGGAACTGTCATCATTCCTTTGTGACGTTGTTCCAAATCCGCTCAAATTTGCTCATCAGTACTGCTGGTTTTCCTTTTCCTTGGCAGTTGTTTTCTTACTGTGCCCCTAAAATCACTCTTCCTTGTGTCTCCTTCTTTGGAGCATTATCTACTGCAAGATTTTAATGAGAATAAATTTAAAGCATAATTCTACTTGTCTGTAGTATTGATATGAGATGTAGGCATGGGGCACCTGTGTACCCCAAAGGAAATCTTTCCTTTGCTCTATGAATCCAGGTATCCACCAATAAAATGGAGATTGTTTTTTTCACTCTCACAAGGAAATAGTGACCCTATTCACCTAAATGTTGGCAGAGTGATTAAATAGTGCAGCAGTAAAAGCATGCACAGATTAGTACTGATCAAGTCAGTAGTAATATGTTTCATCCTAAAGGTGTCAACACATTTAATTTCTCTCCTTTTTTCCTCTTCCTTTTTCTGTTCTGTTCAAGATGTTGGAGCATTTTTTGAAGAAGGAATGTGGCTTCGTTATAACTTCCACTCCCCAGGAACTAGCATGAAGGATTTAGTTAGCCGAACACTTTTGAGTTCTACAGATCCTGAGATCACAGCACCTGACCTCAACTTGAATAAAGAAGAGCTCAGCTTCAGCTTCAGTACCACCAAGTCCCCTTGTGTCTTATTGTACATCAGCTCCTATACCCAGGACTTCATGGCTGTGCTTGTGAAGCCAACTGGTAAGCAACTGCTCCGGGCTCTCTCCATTGCACAGTTGATAATACCAGGCTGACATTCAGCTGAAGCTCTGAACTAGTGTCTCTTCACCCTTGTCATGAAAAAATAAAGCACTTACAAATCTGAACCTGTATCCTGCTTGTTCTGGATTTTGCCACAGAGCAGCATTATGATGGGAACAAGTAGACATCCATATGAAGGCAACCAAATAGTTGAATTCATGGCAATATCACTAGTGGTCATTGAAAAGGGTCATGTACTGTCCTTCTGAAAATCTGGGTACTCACTGAGGTGGCTGAAATATGGATGTAGCATAGCATATAATGTCCTAAATGCTTTGGTGATGGTTGAGGGTTAGATGTGGACCATTTGCTGCTACAGTATTAAAACTATGTATAAACTGAATATACTTCAATTCCAAATAGTGCCTTAGTGCCCCATGAAAATCATAATTAGTGTGATTTTACTACTGTTCTCTTTTATGGGATAATATGAGTATTTCACATGCCACTCATATTTTTCCTTTCATGGGGAAGAAAGAAGGTGCATGAGAGAAATCCAACATCAGACAACTTAACTATAGTTATAAAGGTCTAGGGCTGCTCTTTTGGGCCAGAATATTTCCATTTTTCATCTATAATGGGATCTGCCTTTCCCTTTTCAAACATTCTTCCTTTTAATCAAATATTAAAATGTGTTATGAAGAGCAGACACTTCACTTTTGTTTAGAAAAGAAAAATCTGTCTGGCAGTATGTCGTGCATATCAATTAACCACTTTTGACTATATTTTTCTAACAGTATAACATGACATTTTCGTTTCACCATATATTATTAAATTTCCATAAAAGTCCAGACGGTCACCCATCAACAAGAATTAAATGACAGAGGAAGATAGTCCCTTGTGTAGATTTTGTGTCAGTGTTAATTTGTTGTAATTTTGCCTTTATTCAATGCATTTCAATGGTTTATTCTTTAGAAAATGTTATGCTTTTTATAATTTCAAAGAATTTTACTGCAGCAAGTATAATCTCAACAATAAAGTGCTGCTTGATGAGCTTAATTTTGTACCAATTGTCTATATTGTTCAAGGCATAGCTGTGATTTGTTTGGTTTGCAGTCTGGAGTGTTTACAAACACTTTGGTTTGGAGATGCTGGTCATTGTCACACTCCTGGGTTATAAACTAGAGGCAGTTTCAGCCCAATCACTTTATAATCTCAAACACCAGCTCTTCTCTCACTGCAGAGGTCAGCTAAGAGAGCAATTAAGCATGAAATGATAACTCTATGTGAAAATAAAGAGGGGAAATAACTGCTGAATAAAGATCAAAATACCTGAGGGTGCTTTTCATGTTTTTCTTTCGCTAGGGAATCTGCAGATTCGGTACAGCCTCGGAGGCACCAAAGAGCCATATAACATTGATATTGACCACAGAAACATGGCTAATGGACAGCCCCACACTGTCAACATCACGCGGAATGGACGGGACATCGTACTGCAAGTAAGTTGCAGGTTGTTTGGTTCCATTACTTGTAATTCATAGCATTTTGTCTCTTGGTGGTCTCCATTACTCTGAAAAGACTAGTGCAATTTAGAAAATAAAAAGTGCAGTAGATGGGATTCTACTTGCAGATCACACTTCTAGGAGTTAACAAAAGCTATTCTTTCCCTCTGTTGCATCGTCATGTTGTTCTGAATTCCTCATTTTAATGTGACGACAGCTGGGCTAATACAGGTGTCACTGTAGATGCTCAAGGGCATCAGAAACATCTGAGCTGATAGATAACATGGGACTTGGGACAAACCTGTACCTTTCTGGAGCAGCAGCTGGAAGCCAGGAGGGATATCCTACAGCATCTTAAATGGCAGTGGAGCCTGATGCAACTAAATATCATTCCATAAGTCCTGAGTCTGCATATGAGAATGTCTTTAAATTTAAATTTACCCTGCAGTCCAATGAAATTGCAAGAGCTGTTCTGCAAAGATGAGCAGATGCTTAAGTGTTTGTGTGACAGGAGTCTGGGACAGAGAGTATTATTGAAGACACATAGCTCTTGCTTATTTAGGTTTTGGTGCACCACAGGTAGGAACTTCATCTCTCCATATCTCAGTTTACAAATCTTTGAGATAGTATAATACTAAATAAATAGCTGAGGGGAGCGGTGCAAGAAGCAATCAATGTTTCCAGGCAGCTTCCTCTGTGTGGCCATTACAGAACTCTGTTTTCATTCCCTGCTTGTCACATCTGCAAACATGGAGATTGCAAGCAGTTTTGTTGTCAGGAGAGTCAGGTGGATGGGATAGATTAATTCGGATTTGTTACTCATAAGAAGCAAACCAAAACCAATAACAAATTAAATATAAAAAGGGGAAGCCTCCTTGGGAGACAAGCCAAAAGTTGAAGAAGAGTAGCCATCACAGTATTATCCACCTAGAGATTAAAATAAATCCCTGACAGTTATTGTTTCAAGGTATGAAAAGGAAACTTTTCGGTTTATTACAATGTCATTTGACTGAGGCTCTCGCTACTCGGAATAACACTGAATGCATTGAAATAGAATTGTCACAAAATTATTCACAAAATGCCAAATAACCTAAAAAAAATGTAGATGATACATCCAAACTCACTTCAGGTTTTTTGAGGTTTGGAGGGGTATATATTGATGTATGTGTCTCTCTTGCATGCTATTGCATGTTTTTATTTCACAGCTAAATAGAAGCTAAAGAAGAACTACAATTAGGTTCCCCTCTGGTGTTAAATGTTTCTATTTCCAGGAAGTATGGTATGTTTCCTATGGAGTCATCGCTGTCTGATTTAGGCAGCTGTAAAACTAAATAAATTACTTTTTGAAGGGATCAGATGAGGTACCTTGTCCAGTTAGAAAATATGTACACAGTTAAATGTGCCAACCTTGTATCAACTCACCTACATTTGGTTCCCAACAATTTTTTTCCCAGTGTTTTGTGAGACTATTACCTATCTAGGGCTTTGAAGAGTTAGAAATATTTTGGTTAGTCTTGCTCTGCTGGGATAAAAATTTTTTAATCTATTTAGTGTGTATAAAACACAGCTTATTTATGTAAACAGAAAGCAGATACATTTGAGGCTTATTAAATGAGATGATCTACCTGATGCACATGCAAGAATAGGGGAAGAAGTGACCCATACAAAGCAAATCCAGAAATCCTACCATTACTGTATCCTGAAAGAGAAAATTTCTGTCAAGTTTTGTTTATTCTTCATAAGCTGATTTTTTTACTTAACAGGTTACATTCTTTAAAGGAGAGAATTTATATGAACAGAAATGGACCTGTCAAGCAGATTGTTCACTTGAAAATTAGACCTGTTTTTAGATAGAAACTCTTCATGGTGTCTAAAAATACAAAAGATATAAATAGAGTTTTTCTCAGTATCCAGAGGACAAATCATAAAATATGAGTTTTCTCTTGCAGATCTGAGCAAGAAACATTTGAGCAGACTTTTATTTCCTGCTAAATCTTTCCCCAACCTGATGAGCAGCTGGTTTGCTTGTTTTTAAAGAAGACAGCTTGCTCGCCAGGTGGTTGCTCACACTTCCACATCTCTACATGGCATAAAAGTGTCACAAGGAGGATTTATTTCTCATCAAAGCTTCAATTCAAGAGTACTCAGTATTTCTGAGATCTTAACAATGAGTTCATACTTAGAATACCTGTCTTTCTAACTTACTGTAATAACCCTGTAGTGCCAGAGAGATTTAAAAAATCTGAAGACAGGCAATAAATTGCTATCATGTGAACTGTGTGAAGTAGAGTTGTATCATGATTCTCAGGAGTTTCACTTGTGTATCAATACAGAAAGAGACTCATTAATGAGACCTCATCTGATGCTGGCAGACAGGAGACCAGTGATTACTTAGACAAAATCATAATTTGACTAGGGCTTTGAAATGAACATATCCACAATATTGTATGTCCATAAGGTCACGAACAAGTACAAGAATATTTACTGTGAATGGTTTTTATTGTCATTACATCCCTAACATACCACAACAGTCAGGACTAAAGATAGTAGAAAAAACTTTGTCAAATGGCTTTTATATTTCAATTTTATACATTCACTGACTATAGACAAATCAATTATTAGTCCTACATTAAATAACAAGTTCTCATTTATGATGATATTCTGATAAGATTAAGGATATACATCTGATTTAGGTGTCAGGAAAACCAAATTACGTAAATTCAGGGACAAAGATATGCTTATTTTCTGTTGTTTCTGTGAGGTGGACAAAATCAGTATTTGCTATTAACAATTCCTATCCCTTGCCTCTAGTAAAATACTAGATACTAGTAACCATGGCACACCTCCAAGGCTGCGTTAGTTCACCTGTGGCAAGAAAAAGCCCAGACTGACAGATGGGGAATGCATCATTCCAGTAAATTACATTTCAGGGGCTGAGCTTTAGGTTATGGAGGGCAAGTTTTACTTTGTTTGACTTCATTAAAAGGTTTCATGCTTCAGCAGGGTATTTTCCATATCATAAAAACCAGATCACTCTTTAGCAAGTGTTCATGGGTGATTAACACTATTCACACACCAGTAAAATCTTCCTTTAAGAAAGCTAAGGACAAAGGCTCCCTAGCAGAAGTTCTGATCCAAAGCCCGTTGAAGTAATTGAAAGGCCTTCCATTGACTCCAGTGGTCTTTAAATTGTACCTTAAAGAACTGTGATAGTTGCATCCCTAGTGCAAGGTTCATACCTTCTGCTTCTCTGCACGTCCCCAAAGTAAAATCAGAGTGGAATCTGGATCAGAGACTTTTCTGTTCTGTTGCACACAGCTAGATCAGCCTGTTACAAAACAAACAAACAAACAAACAAACAACCACAACTCCTCTACCCCCCAAAAAAACCCATATACAATGTCCTTTAATTTTCAGTGGAATAAAGCTCATAGTCAACAGAGAGACTGGGCCTCTCAGCTTCCGCACTTTTACATTCTAAACAGGTCTCCAGTTCTCCATCTCTGCTTTAAAGTAATTTCTAGTAATGGGTTATGAGTCACAGTTTATAATGCCTTCTTTTTTCCTGAAAAGGATTATATCTCAGTGACTTCTTCAGGACTCTGGTGTCACAAACCCAGCTGTATACTTTCAGGACAACTATCAGCAGCCATTGCACATCTGCTCATAAGACCACACAGAAGGACAGCTGACAGTTCTCTCTTTCAGGCTTGGACAATATGTCCAACTGTGGCAAAGAAGCTACACACAACAATGTTCTTTTCTGACTCTACTCAAAGTGAGCTTAATTATGAGGCTTTATGGAAATCTTGACCTGAACTCAGCTGTTCATAAGGTTGAGAATAATCTAGAAAATGTATTTGTACAGATCTCCATTTTCCAGCTTCAACAGAGGCAAGCAGCAGAAACCCATCTTTGTGAAAAATGATCAATGAAATATTTGACCCTTACCCAAAGGAAATCAAGAATAAACAGAATGTTTATTCTGTCCTTTCTCTCATTTCCATTTTGAACTCTGCACAACTTGAAAAGACGTAACAATTGCAAACTCCTGGATGCTTTAAAAATGTAAAACATACAAAGTTAATTCAAAACTAACCTGAAGTAGAAAATAAAATGGTAAACATAATAGCTATAAAATAAAATGAGTGAAGTGGAGCGAAGCAGTCTGCATATAATCCCCATCTTAAATGCCATGAATATATCAAAGATTTTTATAATTGTAGATTAAATGTTGGTCTCATTAAAGGGAGTGGGGACTTTCTTATAGACTTCAGTGAGGCTATAATTTCATCTCCTATCATTATTGGTGCTGTAGAATCATGCCTAACTATCATGATTCCTATATTTTGAAGCCCCAACAGAATATGAGCACTGTTTGAGCTCTTGCTTAACTGAGACCATAAAAAATCACCAAATTATTTTCTGCAGCTAACCCAAAAAGTAATCATAGCAGTATAACACATTTTATGTAGCTTTAAAGACTTCAAATGATAGAAAATTTACCATATCCTTTGGCCACATCTTCCAGTGGTACTTAAGCCAGTGCTTAAGTGCCATTCCTGTAAATAATTTACACCTAATTTACAGTTTGAATTCTGCAGACTTCAACACTTAACTCTGTGTCTATGCTTGATAGATGAAAGAAGTGTTTAGTGTCAGGTGTCACTCCCCTTCACACTTTTTTTAGAGATGCTGATTAAAATATCTTTTCATCTTGTCTGCAAGAAGCTAAATAAATTGAACTATTTTAGTATACCATCAGATGTCTATAGTTTTTGAGCCATAAAACAATTTTTTAAATCTTCTCTGAAAACTCCCCCTTTGAATCACATTTTGAAAACATTTACCCTTGGTAATGGTTGTTATGCCAAAATAATGTAGAAATACCATCTTTATTTATTTCCTTCATTTTCTGGGAAACCTACTGCCTCATCGTTCTTTGGGCAGTGCTGTATATTGTCTAGACACCTGCTTAATTTGAAGACTGGTTTAAC